ACTCTTTCTTCTCCCCAGTTCATTCACTTTGTAAGTAGCATTCAGAGAGTCAGCCTTACTGTTGCCTGTATGGAGTCACAGATACACATATGTGTATACATAATACATGCATCTCTTCTTAAGGACCTGGAGGAAATGGAAGATTATGTCCAGTTTTTCCCCCTGTTTTGGGGGAGGACAGAGGGGCGCTCTACAAAACAGCAGCTGGGAGCAAATTACTTACCAGGAGATACATATTTAATTCCAAGTACTATTTACAGGTTTTAAAAAATACTCTTAAATTCATAAAAATACGCTGATTTATTGTAGCTGGGGTATTCATGGTGGCCTTTGGGCCTTCATTTAGCTGAAACTATGGCTGGTCTTGACTTCCAGATATGCATTTACCTACTTTTGATGTCATCAAAGACATAAAAGTCTTTTGGAAAGGGAATGAGTTGTGCAGCAGAGGAAATAGTACAGAAAAATCGAACTGGGAAAAAGCAGCAGAGGTATGAGACACAAAAAATGAGAGAAGCAATTTGAAAAAAGGGGAGGAAGAAAGTGGAGGAAGTTCTCGTGATATTAAGAATGCCATGCAGCCATTTTGTCAGTCCAGCTTGATGACAGAGATTGAGTATACTTTTTGTCTTAGTCATTCTCCATAGATGTACCTAATATTTCTATTTTAGCTTACCTGGTAGGGTACATCAAAATGTAGGAAGAAACTCAGGAATGCACGAGCTTCCAAAATGGCTGTAACTGAAGTTGGGAAAAGCAGAACTTCCTGTTGTAAGAAGAGGGACAGGCAACTTCGGGATCTCGTTAGGATCTTGTGGAAGTGTTGAGTCTAAAGCTTTTTTGAATGTTCCTTCAATCTCTGCACCAACCTGTAACTCTGAAGATTAATTCATGACAGAAACCTTTTAAAACCAATACAGTTATAGTGTAAATGTGTCTGGAACGTTACAAGCTGTTTCTGTGTTGGATGGAAATTTTATTTTTGTAAGACAGAATTTTCATTTTAAAATCACTTTGAACATTTGGCTTATTTATTGCTTTCTTTATTTCCACATTAGCCACAATCCCCACCCCTAACCCCTACTAGTTTATACACATCCAGTACTCCTAATGGGTCCCAGTATCCCATATTCTCCATTGAACCAGTGCATTATTGCATGAGTGACATAAAAACAGGGAAGCCCAGAATTCCTTCTTTCAGAAGCCTCAAAAGAGGGGTAAGTTTGATAACAAGTTGAAATGCATGATGGGCTATGAACAGTGTGTTTGTGATGTGGCTTTTCTAATGCTCTTCACCCTCATTATAAGGCTTACTTTGTTAAAAGTAACACTTCAGCTATAAGGTTGTCGTTAGGATACTTTGTTTCATATTATACAGAAGTTACCAACAGGTTAAAAATAAAATAAAATAGAAATAACTCTTTATCACATTCCAAATACTTGTGCCTAAAAGAAAGGTGTTATAAAGAGGGTGCTCAGCATGTGTTTGATACCTTTCTTCATTGTTGTTCACATTCACAAATGTTTTCCTACCATCATGTAACATATTTTTGCAGTAATTTATCATTGGGTATATAGTCACCACAAAAACCATCTGACAGATCAGATGTCTTATTTGCTGACTTTTAATTGAAATAATAGTTGATTACAAGACACTGAACTAAGAAGGGAGAAGTTTGATTTCTTTTGTATGTCAAATGCACATGGTGCTTGCAGGTTTTGAAATACTGATTTTTGAAACATAATAATTTTAATGCATTTTTTTATTAATAAATTGTTCTTGTGTGTCCAAGGTTCTTTTGGGTAAAAGTATTGAGCATTTACTACCAAATGCCACCTGCTGAGATTTATCAATTCATTTACTAATTTATAGTGGCATATCCTGCAAATAGAATTTGTTTGGAAGACAATAAAAGGGAAATGTTAAGTGGCTTCCTAGCAACATTTATACTAGTGATAAATGTACTGGCACTTTCCTGTTAGGTCAGTGAAGCATAGGCTGCCCAGTTTATGTATGTTTTATGGTATTTATTGATCCAAACAATGAGATAATCGGATGCGTTTGATTATATATAATTCATGATTTCCTGATATTTGAAAACAATATTGACTTGCTGTCTCACGTGCATCAAGAATGGTTGACTACTGCTGACATAATGTGGAGATCAAAGTACGACAATGTTATATTGCAGTAAAGTTATGATTTAGAGGCTCCCTTTCTGTCATTCTGAAGTATAATGAGTTACACTTAAAACTTACTTTCTTTAAGTCGTGGCATCTTATTTCAGGCCCCCAGATATCTTGGAAATACCCTTTCTACCACCACCTTTTTTTAGAAAATTCCTGTGGTGCTCTTAAGTATTTATGGGGGACAGTTTCTCCTTTCCCCTTCTGACTCACTTATATCGTAATTTGTTCTGGTCATGAAGATAATGTTCCTTCTTTAGTACTCACTGAGGAACTAACCGGATTAGATAGTTGTTGAGATGGCACAGGTCTTGATTACACCTCCTTCTTGTTGATCACTAAATGTATTGACTCCTGGCTCACAAATCAAGACCTTGTAGTATCAGTAGTTCTAGAAGCTTTTACTGAAGCAAAAGATCATCTCCTAACAACTACAGAATGCTAATGGAAAATGAAACCATATTTTTATTTAATTTTTTTATTCTTACAATTCATTGTTCATGTTGTAAAAATGAATGAATTTAATATAGAATAGTATTCTGTAAAATTAGCAAGGATCACTAGTATCCTACAAATCTGGATTAACTCAAATATCCCACAACATCAAGTAGTTAATCTCTGTAAATCTTCAGGATGAACATTTAATTTTTATATATTTTGAAATTCCTTGCAAGCATTTTAACAGACATCACAGTATCACATATTGAGTGCCTTTTCAACTTAAATGCATACTGTAATTCTAATAATTTTTTTTTAAATCTCATTGATACTTAATAGTTGCTAGTACATGATGCTGTTTTCCACAGTTTTGTCCCTGAAAAATGATGTCCAACTGGTATTGACATGCAGAACTACCAAGCGGTATTTAATTCGCTTCTGCTTCTACCGAGATTTACCCATGAGTTGGCATATATCAGACAGTAAGCATACTGGTTATTTTAGCGTGCCCTGTATGAGATTTCACTCAAGGCACTGGAGATCCCAAAACCAGACTGCCCTCATTCTGTGCTTCATGCATTAGATTTTCCTATCGTGATATATAGCGAAAGCAGCAAACAGTAGCTGGAGAATAGGTTGTTGAAAAAAGTCTTTGAGCGTAAGCAAGTGTAATTTGCTTTATTAGTACTCCTATTACATGCTGCTGCTTATCCTTTGAAATCTTAACATTTCCAGATAGTGTTAGTGCTTGTGAGAGGTCTTTGCTCAGTGCCACTTGATACATAAATAGATGGATCGTCAGCAGTGATATGTAAACCTTACTTGTGTTTTCTTGGAAGACTCTAAAGGGAACAAGAAGTTTATTCCGTAGCCATTTTACATCTTTGGACTTCATTGAGGTTTCTACTGAAGTACCATTTGTTAAGGTGCTTTACTTTCCTTGTTGCTAGAAATTCTAATTTTGTGTGCCCCAGTCCACAACCTTAACAATTGCTGACGGTCATGAACGATGAACATATCTTCTAAGTTGCTTGGTGTTTCTCTGGAAAGAGTTAACCTGAAGTCAGTGAAAGCATGGTAGATCTTCAAAATGCTGTGAATGTTAAACCCAAGACAGGACACGTGGCATCCCATGTTGTATTTGCTTCCTTTACTCTTTAAATGTCTTTATTTTTATCTGGACTGAAAGATCCCTAGAATAGCAGCAGTGACCCAAATGCTGTTTTCGGAAAGTAAAATTACTAACTTCTAAACTTGAAAAAGATCTTTGTTTATTGTAGTTCTACTGTGATAATAAAGTAAATACATTGTAAAAATTACATCTGTAAAAGTGATGGTAGTGGATTGTTAGCTGTAATTAACAAATTATTTGCATATGGCTGACCAGTCCTTCATCGTCATCAAATTCTGCTATTTTGTGCAATGTTGGCTGTGTGTGTGTTTTCTTCTCCTACAATAGTTCTTTAGCATATTATTCAAAACACTAAAATTTAAAAGTAGTTTAATGAACTTGTGTATTAGAATTTCATAAGTTAAACCTACCCATTATCACCCAGTAGTTTTTTAAATCAGTAATTCTTAAAGCAGAAGTGCATTTCTGATTATTGTATTTTGCTTTTCTTGTGCTCATAGTAAAATGTGTTGTAATCTTTAAGTAATATTTTAAAGGTACATTTTTAGGCATTAATCATCTTCGTAACTGGTCGTTGCATGTGAATAATTTCCCGTTTCTTTCTGTTTTCAAATGAACTGTGCAGTGGTCGGTGAAGATGGTAAGCCCGTGTGCTGATCTGTCTGCTGTACTTCTGCTAAGATAGCATGAAAGTAATCTTTTGAAAGTGTTTCCATATCATAACTGCTTTAAGTCAGGTGCTGAAATACATCTTCAGATTTTCCACTCATATACACAGTCTTCTTAATCATCCATGCTTAATGTAAGATAATTAGACTTGTGATCTGGCTGCAGCTTAAATCTGTCATTTTGGAATTTTAGGGTTGACCAGTATTCACAAGCTGGTCATGATGGCAATACTTGGTGATTTCTCTTTGTCAGGAAAATGGTTAAAGCAGCATGAAATAGGTATATGAAAAGATTACAAAACTTGTGTAAAGAAGAAATATTGAACACTGCGAAATTCACTCCTTTGAATTTAACAAAAAAAAATTGCAGGGGAGATGATCCTTTATGCTTAGGAATACTAGAAAGCTGTTATATTAAATGAAAACCACACCTTAGTCAATATTGTTGTTTTGCAGAGTAAATCAGTAAAAATTCACAAAAAGACCTCTGTTCTTCTGATTATTGCTGTAGGATACTCTGGTTTTAACTGACCTGTAAGGAAGAATGATATGGAGGATGTAGTTGTCTTTTTGTTTCTTTGTAGTGTGTAAAAGCACCTTGAAAGGATTTTAATTTTTTTTTTCCCCTCCAGAAAGAAACATTTCTGCTTTATTTTGGAAACATCGTATTTTTATTTCCCTCCTTTTATGGTGTCTTGTATTCCCTCCTTAAAAAGCAGCGAGCATTATGATTTTACAAGTTCAAAAGAACCAAGAAGTTGAGGGGCAAGAAGATCTTAAGAGGGGGTATTAGAAACTTGGCACCTGAGCCTAAGGCTGCTTGTGTCAAAATCTGGACAGTCACGTTTCTGTCAAGTTTCTTCTTGACAAAAGAAATGCTGTCCAGTTCGGTTTGCTTCCATGGGGGGTTGCTGTAATGGCAAGTGGGTTTCTTGTGCTAAAACCAACTTTCTTGGGCAACTAGGACACAAATAAGTGGACTTAACTTTCTGTTACTAAGATGTGTACCATATTTCCTTCGTAACACTGCTGGTGTCTGTCACCCTGAAGGGAAGAGTTTTCACAACAAACTCGCAAGATGCGTACAAATCTCTTCCCAATGCTTTTCACACCCAAGTCCTTCCATCCTGTTTATAATCTTGGCACAAGTTTGCAATCAAACCTTTGCAGGTTTGGGCTCATAACAATAGGTGGTCTTAAGTTTGTGGGGGTTTTGGGGTGGTTGTTTTTTTTTTGTTTTGTTTGGAAGTTTGGAAAGTAGGAGGATTTTTCCCCCTCCCTGAAACATTGGGGTTTTTTATAGTAAAAAAGGTGACCTGGAATATTTGAGCAAGTTTTGATTCAGATTAATGAATTTAAGTCAAAACTTTGATGTTACAAAGGCTTTTTCTGTGCTCTGTGAAGTAGTTTTACTCAAGGTAAAATGCATCAGAACTTTTTAAGTTTTAATATGTTTTCTAGCAAGATTGCTGAACTTCTGGAAGAGAACTATAATAGTACTTTGGAATGAAGATCCAAAATACAGTATTTTTCTTTGGATAGCATCCAAATCACCATAGAACACACACTCTAGAGAAAGAATCAGTTATACACTACTACTACTTATTATTATTAACACATCTTGGATTTTTGTTCTGACTGAAATTACTCTGTAGTAATGAATTCTGTCCTTTCTAAATCTGCTTTAAGTGTAGTGGATGTAATAGGAGGTACATGGCTCAGCTTTTCAGAAAAATAATTAAATCTGTGAGCCAACTGTTACAGAAGGCAGAAAGAACCTTGAATGAATGACTATGACCTGGCAGCAAGAACGTGCATTTACTCTGTTGTGGTCTTTTATAGAGCTGTGTGTCAAGTAGAGTTTTTAAGAAGGTCCATCCTGCTTCCAGTGAACACTGTCCGTGTGTGGGTATGTCGGTTCAGCTGTCCTGATATGTGCGTGTTACTTGTTTAATAGTATTTCTACTTGCAGGGCCCTGCACTAGAAGACTTCAGCCATCTCCCTCCAGAACAACGACGCAAGAAACTGCAACAGAGAATCGATGAACTCAACAGAGAACTACAGAAGGAAACAGACCAAAAGTGAGTGCATTTTTTGGCGTTTTGTCATGGTTCTCTCTGTGTCTGCTTCTTTTGAAGTCCTCTACCTAAGCCGATAGTGGTCAGAAGCTAGGAGAGAATATGCTAGTCCAGGCTATTACAAAGCATTTTTTAGTTCGTGGTTTATTGTATGTAGGTTCTGTTAGCATTGCTTCCTTCTGCTTTACTATAACACACATTTTGATCCTAATGTTGCACAGGAAACATGGGCTCTAAAAGCATGCATTAAAAAAAAAAAATGCATAGGTCTTTGAGCAAGAGCGCCGCAACTTAGTGCGTTAAGAGAAGAACATTACTAATATTTAGTAAATTGGGTATAACAATATGGGAAACAGTATTGAGACTGCATAGAGAAGAGTCGACAGTTGGAGTGCTTGTGTGCTTGTGCACGACACAAGAAAGGAAGGCGAAGTGCTAAGATGGCAGAATGGGAAAAGGATTTAGGCGTGCTGTGGGGAGCAGTAGTTCCTCACGTCTGAGCTGATGAGTATCTAATCACAGGTCAGGATCTCGTACACACAAACACTATTTTAACTTTAATGAATCAGTACTGATGTATGTAAGTTTTATAATTATTGTCGGGTTTTGTATGTTTTTAGAGATGCCCTCATCAAGATGAAGGACGTTTATGAAAAAAATCCCCAGATGGGTGATCCAGGCAGTTTGCAACCAAAATTAACTGAGACTATGAGCAACATGGACCGTCTTCGGATGGAAATACACAAGAATGAGGTTAGACTCTAAACCAATTCCTTGGGAAATGTAAATGAGTGGTAAAACTGTAGTTTGCCTTATAAATCTAGCACCCAGAAAAACTACTTGATTTAAGAAAGCGCTCCTGATAGAATTTTTTTGTGGGGTGCCATATTTTCAAGTACGTTCATCTAGCTAGAACAAGGATGTACATTATTAAAGATGTAAACGGTTCAGAAGAATTTCTTATTAACCATTTATTCTGAAATTCATATGTGATTAAAGATTTTTTTTTTCCCCCCTCAAGACTAGTATGGAGTATAGGCTAAGCACGAGGGATAGGTTCATGCGTCATGTGAAGTAATTATGAGACTTCACATGTGAACGCAGTCTCTGTGGCTGTGTACTGACAAGTAAACTGTATGCAGTTAAGCGCATTTGTTAAATGGTATTTGCTGGTCTAGAATCTTAAGTTTCCTTTGACACCAATATTTGTCTTTTTTCCCCAAGGCCTGGCTCTCTGAAGTTGAAGGTAAAGTAGCAGCCAGAAGCGACAGGCGGCACAGCAGTGATATCAACCACCTTGTAACGCAGGGCAGAGAGAGGTCACTATTCTATCTCTACTGCTTTTATATCTTATGCTAGAATCAGTACATCTCTTTGATAGTTAACAGTAGGTGATGGTTGTTACTTATCCTCTGAAGTTTATGTCCTAAAGGAAAATCTTACAGGTTCTGGATTCTAGAGGTCACTTCATGTCATTATGGTAACATAAAAAAATAGTGAGTCTAATCAAAACACCCACTCATTAAAGAGCAGTGCCTTTTAAAGCTATCTTATTCCGTTGCGTAAGGCTCACCAGTTTTCCACGTTCTGTAGAGACCAGTATGTCAAATTTATGCTTGTTTTTGTAGCAGAATTCAGTCCGAGCCTTTGTTAGATCCGTATTTTCAGAAAATCACCTCCAGCAGTAAATACAAAAACTGCTAACAGGCATTCCCAGAGCCATATCCACGGTCTGCCCCTTCCGTGATGCACGTATGTTCTGAGTTTTAGAGCTAAGAACTCTTCAGAGTCCTCACGCTCCAATCATTGCATTATAGCCCTGAAGGGAGTTACACGGATGATGCAAATCAGGAAGTTCGAGGCCCACCACAGCAACACGCACATCCAAATGAGTTTGATGATGAGTTTGAAGATGATGATCCGTTACCAGCTATAGGACATTGCAAGGCAATATATCCGTTTGATGGTAAGGTTGACAACATGCACTACGAATCCTTGACTATAAGGCAACTTGACTATAAGGCGTGGATTATTGTTACAAAGAAGACAGGTAAAACGATTGAAAGTAAATTAACTGTATGAGCAACTAATTGCTTGTAAGATCAGTGGAAATATTTTATAAATCGGTTTAATTAACGAGCAGTACTTTTGTGCTGTTCTAAGATAAATATTAGCACAGCTACTGGCAAATATTCAGCTTTACAAATTGGACTAGGTTTTTGTCTGTAAGCCTGTTTGACCATATGTTCTCTTGCACAGATTTTTGGTTCTTCCTGTTTATATATAATCTGGAAACTATGCCCTGGGAAAAAGATGACTTGAAATTCTGTCTGAACATTGAGACTTCTTTGCCTGTTGTTTTCCCAGGTCATAATGAAGGCACTCTAGCAATGAAAGAAGGGGAAATTTTGTACATTATTGAGGAGGACAAAGGAGATGGGTGGACAAGAGCTCGAAGACATAATGGAGAGGAAGGCTATGTGCCAACATCATATATAGATGTAACGCTAGAGAAAAACAGCAAAGGTGCAGTAACCTATATCTAACGGTAAACTGGCAGCTTTCAGTTGTACGTTCCCCAGGGAAAATAGTGGAAAAATAGTAAGTTACACAGGTTCACGGAAAGCATTAGAATATGAGAAGTCAGCACTGGTCTGTTGTTTGCAATGTGAGTTTGCTATAGTTTTTTTCAGAAATGACCACATTAAATTATGCATCTCGCACTGGTCTGTAATTTTGACCAACGTCTTCTGCTTTAACTGATCCAGTGTTCCTGCTTTTACAAAGCACTAAATCCAGTTCAGCTATTAAACTGAAAAAGACCAAGATTCCTGCTTTTTCTATAGAATGCTTTGTTTTTATAGAGAACTGAAAAATTACTTAAAGATCTCTAAGATTTACTGTTCCCACTTTTGTGACTTAAACTAGATGCTTAAAACAGAGGGGTTTTTCCTCTAATAACTAACTGAACTCAGTTACTGAAAATTATTAATTTCCTTCCTTAGCAAATACTTGGCAGCTTTCACTTCTTAAACAGGAAAATGTTTTCTGATTCTGAAAGCTCAACAAAAATACTCAGGAAAGAAACATTATGATTAAGAAGGACAGAAAGTCCACTGCCCTGCCTCTCTCCTTCCTTTTCGGTACTTGTAATGTAGAATGTTGTGTATTGGACACAACTTCATTGTTTTAACTCTAGGCACCTTGAACAAACAAAAAAAGAGACCACGTGTGTGATGCTTGGTGTCTTACTGAAACCTCTCTCTGCTCCTGAAAAGGGAATGATTTTATATTCTTAATCTGTGCCTGTAAGCCAAGTCTTTTAATTGCATCATGTTTAGTTTGAAATCAAGGTCTAAAATGTACGGTAATTCCCCTCGCTGTTAAATCACTGAGGACTGGAAACTGCATTGAACTACTTGATTACTAGGGGGGGAAAAAAAAGCTAATCTAAAAGCTGTGGCTCATGTTTCTAATGCGAGTTTGTGGAATTAAGTACAAGGCTAATGTATAGCCACTGAGAATGGCCTGCTAGAACTGAGCACGCTTCTCTGTCTTCTAAAGGCCTTCAGTAACTCTGTTCTTTTCTTTTTCCTCTTGGACTGCAGGTTCCTGAAGCGGGTTTCTGAGAAAATGGGCGAGATCTTGAAGGAGGTTACATGCAGCTGCTGGGGGGGTGGGGGTGGGGCGGGGTATTAGACTGGGAGGCCCAAGGGGAAAAGCTAGTTGCATGAATGCATGCAGACATACATTTAGTCACTAACATCTTAGCATCTCCATGCATAGGTAAGGATGTATTACAAATTCTTCCATTTGTGCAGGAAAGCAGAGTTCCATTGCCAGAGCAAAAAGGCTACTGCTCCTAAAATTGCTTTATTTTCATTGTCCTAGGTTGTCCCAGACGCACAAACGATATTTTAGCTTGTGCTATGTTTTGGTTATCTCAATCATGCTCTTTTCCAACTCATTTTAATTGGCAGTCATTTAGAACCATGTGTCAGTTATCGGTCTGCCTGTGCCACCTCCATGCTCGCCCTTAACCTCCTCCTGCATGCCTAGGACAGTCGGGCATGTCTGCATAACACTTTGCCATCGTTGCTTGTCTTATTTTGTAACAAATCATTTTGTTTAAATATCTTCAGCACTAGAGTTTCATCCCAGTATCCATGTATGCTGCTATAACTATACCACTGCAACCATCATTACATTCCAGTTTTTGGCATAACTGATAAGAGACCAAAATGTATTTGTGTTGATCTGGGGAAAAAATAACATCTCAGCTCTAGCCTACAATGCAATCAAGAGAAGCTCCTAGAACTGCGGTCCATCTTCAGCACTTCAGTAACCTGTTGTGAGCACTGAAAACCTGGAACACCACCAGAGAGATTTCACCACTGCAAGCTAATGACTGTTTTCAGAAGTCAACCACTTGCCATTCAAATGCTGCCTTAAACTAGAGTGCCTAAATCTGTTGGTTGCCAACACTACCACTTACAGTATCCCACAAAGGGCTTTGTGTCTCAGCTCTTTCCACAGTGCTGCAGCTGCTGAGGTAGCCACGGTAGGTGTTTTCTAGAGCTCCACTTTACTGGATACATGGTGCGTCATGAATTTTATACATTGAAACGTGTATCTCCTCATTTGACTTTAATATTTTTAAAAATATTTTTATGGAAACTGTCTTTTAGTTTTTGACTATGAAGTTCCAATTTTAATTACTGCAGTGCTAGTCCATTTCCAGGTGATGCTTCATTGTATGGACCAGTTGAAATTTGAGTGATACTTCGTAATGATCTATGTGCACTTTTACTTGTAAACAATTGAAATTTGGATATGTTTATACGTGTAAATATAGTTGTCTGCAGTGCCCCTATTGCTTATGTTGTCTTGCCTCCCATTTGTGGTTCCATTAATAACTACATCGTATCTGATTTATTAGGGTGATAAGAATTAGACTAGAGATGTTGGGGGGAGGGATACTTGTATCAAAGCAAGCTTGTCAACCCAGCCGCCTGCTGTTTGGGGAAATGAAATCGTAATCAAAACATCCTGTTTTTCTGGGGTCCGAAGCAATATTTGGATGCAGCAGTGCTGGATTCTTTTTAATTTCAGTGTTATTAGGAACTGTACTACCAGTAAAACTGAATTTGAGTGACTTGTGTAGAGGTTTATTCCTTTTGTTATGTATACCACTATTACACAGCTTGACCTAGTGTATTATGGGGGCTATTAAACTCTAAAGTTTAGATTTTTGGAGCTTGTATACAGGGTTATTTATATAATAATGTGACATTACTCAATACTGACAAAACTACTTAGGTAGTTTTTTGGGTTTGGGGGTTGTTGGGGGGTTTTTGGTTTTTTGTTTTGGTTTTTTTTTCTGTTTGTTTTGTTTTTTTAATCTAGTGCTTTTTTATTTTAAAGTTAGAGAAAAGGAGGAAATGTGATCTGTGTAGTTTCTTGCTAAAGGGCCTGTGGTTTGCCTGGCTAACAGCCTTGCAGGTCAGTAATAACACTTCCTGGTAAAGGACTAAATGTTCTCTTCACGCTACTGTTTGTTTTTCTAAAACCAGGATTTGCTTCCTTTGGAGGCAGGTTGCTTTCGTGAGGGATAGTGCAACTTGTTTGAGGGTTATTAAACATAGGAAAAAAACATTTGTACTTGCACAGCTAGTTATAAATCACTTATTCTAAAATTCTGAACGTGAGTTGTCTTAAAGAATCTTACATTTTCCAGTAATTTTTATTCCTTTTTTGTGCACATGTTGATTTCCTAAATGTTAAATGCTTTGTTTAAAAATAGTGTTCTCTGTTGAGAATATTTTCACGGAATAAAAAAATCTTTTCATGGCCTAAGTAATTAGCTTCCCCATTTGTCTTCTGTTAAGATTGACAGAGGGAGACTTCAGCATGAGGTCTGTAACCTCTTGTTACGGTGGCAGAACCTCTGCTATGATTGATTGAAGGGTGGGGGGAACAGATAATACCCTTTTGGTGTTAGTTTTGTTGTTAGCCTACTCTCCTCCAATACTTTCAAATGCTGTAAGTAACATCTCACTCCAGAAATAGGCTTACTGACAATGAGGACGTGTAGCTCTAACCATAGTTCTTGCTTAAATATTTCCACAGCTCCTGAGGATAGTGCTTATACACCAGTTCTCTACGTGACAAAGTGGAATTTGCTGCTAAAGCACTCTTTATATAAACACCATGCACGCTGATTTCCTATTAAAAGTGCTAACAGCTTATGCTTTGCCTTCATCCAAGGGGAAAAAAAAACACCAACACTACTTACCCAAGTGATTCACCTCAGTAAATGAAGCAAGTTTAATATATACATACACCCACATTTACTCATATCTGAAAGCATTTTAATTATCAGGATTGTTTGTTCTTGCTGTTTCATCATCCATTCCTGGTAGCGTAGCTGTTGTGCAGGTTCCAGCAAAAGCCAGAGTACTACAGATGCTGTCTTAAAAAAAACCCCGTAAGGTGTCCCAACACACACACAACTGATTTTCTACTTTCAGAGGTGCAGTGACATTTGAGCCTTCTGTTGTGGCCGCAGATAAAGGATCATTTCTGCAACCGTGCAGATTATTTTGCATAAAGATACACTTTAATTCACAATTCTATGTACAGTGTTTTATAGTCATTAAAGGAATATAATACAACAAATTTTTCTGCAGTGTGTCACGTACTTAATCTATCATATTATTTACACTGTTTGCTTCATTTTAATATTAAGACGCCAGTGCCCTTACTCCTTGGCATTATCAAAACATTGCAACTCTGGGGAGACACAGAAAGCCGTAAGACTAGCTTACAGGGATAACCTAGCTGTTGAAAGGGATCATTAAATGACTTGGTGATGCAGTAAATAAATAATTTGTTTAGAAATCAGTAGTTTTAAAACAAGTGTGCATTGTGCAGTTAAAAGTTCTAAACATCTTGTGAAATGCAAGAAGTTGGTGCAGTATCAAATTGCCAAAAGAAAGCTAAGGTTATTTCAAGTATATCATTTAAAATAGTGTTTACAGAGTCTTATATATTTAATTGTTCCACCTGCTTCACTGGAGGAGGTTCCAGTTTTCGGGAAAGTGCAGTTAAAATCTGGCTGAATTTCTCGTATCTTTCATTTTGATTAACTTGTGCTCCTTTGCTGCCCCAGAGCAATCTCATCTGAAATTCTGTCTTGAAGATTTCATTCATCTCTTCATCTGGCTGGAAACCTAGTAAGTAAAAAGAATCCCACAATAGCCCCATCAGGCAAGTTTTTTATGCAGAAGAAATGGCTTTTAAACTGTATTCCCCCAAAGAAGATAAGCTTTAGTGTGCTGGGTTCCTTTTGCAGAATGGTTGTAACACGCTAGCGAAAATCCTTTCCGTCTGTGACAGTCTAGTAGCACACAGATGGCTCTAGGGACACTGGGACAGGCTAGCCTTTGCTCAGTTCTAATGGTCTAGAATTGTCCTTACAGCCTGACCTTACGTGTAATTTCTGACGTATACGTGCTGCCTGCAGAAATACATTTCTCTCCCCTCCCTTTTTCACTGCAAGTTTAACATACAAAGTCACACTGTTAACATGTTTGTTGTTTTTTGGTGCCAAGCAGTCAAGATCTCAGTGTTGCATCTTACGCTGCTGTAAAGAATCTTACTACGATGCGTGGTGTTTTATTTGCAAAAATCAGAGTAGGAATTTTAAACTGTCCAGAAGACGGGAAGTTCTCGGTCCTCGCTGCGCTTCTGTTCAGTTGCTAGAAGGGTCAGCGTATTAAGTAAGTTTAGCAAAACGTATGCTCTATTGCTTACTGGGGAACTACAGCGATGAGTAATTTACTGTCTGCTTTTAAACAATATTGACGTTGTCCTCAGGCCAAGTTTCCTGCAGGACATTTGCTACTATCTCAGCTCCCACGGAAGAGCAGAAGAATTTCTCGCGCTAACTTTCAGTGGCACGTAAGCAGAGACCTTAGTCTTCACACATAACCCACACGTTCTGTTAACGTGCAGCAGTTTCTCCTCCTCGTGCTCCCTACCTTCCAGCATCCGTTCTGCAGTCAAGCTGTACATTTCTGCGTCCTGCGCTATCCGACGAGCTGTGGCCAAGTGCTTGAGCATTATTTCGCAGCTTTGGTCACTGCTTTCCCACAGGTCCATGCCTTCAAAAATGACAGCTTGTCGCTCCATCAAGGTAACGAGAGGCATCAGCAGTGGCACTGTTACATTGTTCTGTGGAGCGCTGACGGTCTCTGGGAGAGAGAGTAACAAATGAACCGTACCATCAGACATGACAAAACCTGCTGACTGAAGGCGGCATTGTAAGTGCAGTATTCTTTTCAAAGTTGGAAACTACTGTTTGTCGTCTTCCATCTTTCAAAGTGGCACCTTACCTGAGGTGCACCTGTCCTACCGGTTTCCAGGGAACTGGTTGGGGGAGAAGGCCAAGACAAATCAGCGTTGGAAAACTGTATTTGCTACAGGAGAAGGCTCTGCTGAACTATTAGACAGTGGCACAGAGATTTTAAGCACATCTAAAATCTGGGTCATTCCAATAAGTTCTGCGAGGCTGAAAAGTTTTCCTTCTCCACCTATTCTTTTAAAGAAATGTTGCCTCCCCCTTGCAGCCCTTTGGAGACTAGAGCTGCAAAGAATCTGATGCAGGAGCACCTGATGTGATCAGAGGAATGATCTGACTAACCCCTTCTTTGAGGATTCATCCTCCGATCCAACAGGCGAAGCAAATAAAAATCAAAATCTGCCAGAAGTAACTCTCCTGTGGGGAAGAAGGAGATTTTCTCCTGTCTTTGAGGGAAGATGATGCAGAGTGTTTCAGTTTTAGCTCCGCAAAGAGGGGAGTGTGGCTTTGGGCAGAGCGTTACATCTGCATGGGTACATGCACACACAGTGATGTTTGGCTGGCAGACCGTTTCCTTCTATTTCATTGTCTTCTACTGCATTACACAAGCTCGTGTAGTCATTTTAACATATGCACAGCTGTCGAAACAGCAGCTGCCTGCCTCCTCTCCTCTCCCTACACAGCAAATCGGTAGTGGGAGAGTTAAAAGGCTCAATAGAAACCAGTGTCGCTCATACTCACTATTCCACTCATCTTGTCCTTCATGCAAAGCTTTGCTAAATGGTTTGAGCTGTTTTTCATACGTAATGGCAGTCTGGGTATAACGATGTCTTAGAGAGGTCCAGGTCTGTTCTAACCTAGTGACCTGTTCAAACAAAATGGAGAATACCCGTTATTGCCTCATAGCAACTCACAGGAAAAGTACACTGCTAGTGATGAAGTTTCTGTTCTGAGGTGATCTCTCTAGTCTCGAAGAAATTGGATAAATTAAATTAAATAAACCATCAAACTCCTCCGTGTTCTGGAACATAAACAGCTTTTCACCTGTGGCATTTCCAGTGCTTTCATAATGGCAGAAAACGCATACAAATCCCCCAGCGAGTCCTTCAGCTCCACTGCGACTTGGATGATCCTGTTTAATGTTGCTGCTCTATCTTCTAGATTTCCTGTGCAACCCAAGATATCCACAGCTATTCCTATTGCCATGGTATTGTGCCTGTAAGTGAAACAATTTATACTAGGGGTTACAAATTTTTAAATTAATACACGTATACGTTAATACATTGTGCTGTACGTGTGTTCGGAGAAGATCAATTCAAAGGTACATTTCAATATCTCAGTGTGCCCAGCAAACTTACCAATGTCTTTGTAGCAAGAGCAGTAATGCCATTATATGGAATATATATACATTGGCTTTGAATTTGTGTTTTAATAAATCTAATAAATTTTCCTACGATATTACTACTACACAAAACTCTGCTCAAGCAGTGAATTAACACACACTGGAAAATTGCCCCAATTCCCTTTGTCCTCCACACTCAAATCCTGGGCCCTTCCCCCTAAAATTTCAGCAACCAAACTACTGAAATCTGACTTGGAGAAGCAGAAAAGCTAGGTGAGGGATAGAAGGCCCTGACTGTTCCCCCTTAACTTGCTGCAGAGGTTTTACAGAAAGCTTTGCTGATTATTTTTTTTTACTTTACTAGATCCTCTAGCCTTTTTCCCAGTTGCAGAAGGCTACTGCCTTCAGTTTCTTCCGCAAACACTTACCTGCTCAGCTAGATTACAGGTCCCCTGAGCTTCAGTTTACCTGAGCTCTTAAAGGAGAGCTGAGGGTCTTGAGCAGCTGTAAGGACCCTGCTTTCAATACAGTTCCCCTTTCCCTGCATGGCATGCGTGGAGTTGCCCCATGACCTTAAGGAATTTTTCCTGTGCAAAAAGGAAGTTCTATGCCACCTCACTAAATTATCTTCTGGGCACATAAATGCAGAAAACGTGCAGGAGAGCATTCTTTGAGGAAATGTAGAGTACAACGTAGCGATGACCCGATCTGGCAATCTGCCCTGGAAATGAGTAACAGGAACGTTTACCTTTCAATTAGGTCAAGGCGCAGTTGATGTCCGTAAGGCAAGGTAATCAGTTCAAGACCAGAGTTCACTCCCATCATCCTCCTCATCTCTTCAGAAACTTCTAGTATCCTCGCTACCTGTCAAGTGCAAAAATGTGTGTGTGAGTTTTGAAACTAACTTCTTCAAAAAAAAAAAACCCTAGCCACGTAGAAGTCCTCCAGGTTAGTGCAGGGCATATAGAGCTAAGTGCACAGCACGCAACATTAGAATACAGTCATCTAAGAAAAACTTAATTAACTTAGGCACATTCAGTGCTTTACACAAAAGACCAACCAAATTTTTTTTTTTTTTTCATGATTCAACCATCAGAAAACATATAAAAGGTGTGACCAGAACGCTTTATCAAACTTCCGTCCTCCACTTCC